GCCAGCACCTCGCCCGCTGGCTCGCCGCAGGGCGCGGGGAAACGCGGAGGCGACCTTGCGCCTAAGAGGGATCCGAAGGGCATCGTCAGAACCATTGGGATCGCGCCCTGCAAGCGGGCGCGTGTCCAAGACTCGGGACCCATCCCATGGCTCCTAGCCCGGTTATGCACAGCCGAACACGCCAGGCTCCACGGGGTTGGCATCTCCCAGCTCCTCTCCCTCGGCGCTGCCACTCCAAGGCAAGCGGAGCCCCCACGGGTGTCTTTTGCAGAGCACCCTGGACATGGAGGCCCTGATGCTCGCCACCCTCGTCCTCGCTCACGCCATGGCTGCCCTGCAGTCACACGGTAGGGACTGAACCGGCTTCCAGCCTCGGGAATCTCCGGCTCGATTTCGGCATGGGCAGTGCCACGGCAGCCACCCGCTTGCAAGGGACCTCCTGCAAGAGGATCCCTGGGGTTTCCACAGCTGCGCCAGGCAGGTTTCCCTCCTGCTCGGCGCTTGGCCTGCTCGCTGGGCCAAATCCAGTGTGGTGCATTTGGGCAGAGGGTTGGGGACAAAGCCAAAGCTCATGGGACCCCGTGCAAGCAGCTGGCAAAGCCGCTCTTTTCTCACCCATGCAGACGTGGAGGAGAATATTGCCACGCTGGAAGCCTTGCTGCGGGCAAACTGCAGCAACGCCAACGAGAACATGGCAAGGTGCGTGGGTGCTGTGTCCCCATTCCCAGCGCACTCCGAGCTGGGAGCCTGCTCGTCCCGCTTTGCCTCGACCCGCTGTTTCACCCTGCAGGTTGAACTGGCTGCAGCGAGAGCTGCCCAAAGTCATCTTCAGCCAGACGCAACTCAGTGTGAGCTCCACCGCTGTGCACATCCACATGTTCAAGCTCCGCGCCCGGGACTTCCACGGGATCAATGTCACCAGTGTCACCAATGAGATGGTCAGTACCCGCGGGCTCCTCTTCCAGCCCCCCAAACCAGGCCCTGGGACACACATCTGGGGAGGAGAGTTTTCCTTGCAAAGTCCTGGGGCTGGTGGCCAGTGGACCCTCGGGGTGGTTTCGAGGGGTGAGAGCTGCGGCTCCCGCTGTTGGCAGATGCTTTATGTGATGGAAACACCCCAAGATGCTGCTGCCTTGGGGCTCCCCTGATGGAGGATTGCCCTAAGGACTGGGGGGTCTCTGATGTTGGGACTGGAGAAATGCCACGGTCTGAGAACCCAAATGCATCCGGGGCACCCGACAGTGACCTGGGACATGTGTACTGGGTCATACGTTGTCACCAGGCTGGGGGACATAGTGGTGGCCTACGCTGATAACCATGGGGACACAGTGCAGAGGGGTCTGGCCATCCTGCCTGTGTCTCGACTGAGTCACCTTGGTCCTGGGGGCCTCCGCAGGCTCTGCCACTGCCTCCGCCACCACCACCTCTGCCAGCCAGCGCAGCACCCACGGGTGACATCAGGGCCAGGCGTCCCAGGAACGGTGCAGGCCTTTGTCCTCCTCGAGTGGCTGGTTGGGAGCAGAGCTTGGAAATGGCCCAGTGCATCTTAGCCACATGGTCCCCCAGCCGCTGTTTTGACCCAGCCCGGCTCTGCTCGTGTCTCAGCCAAGCCTCCTCCTCCTCCTCTTCCTCCTCGTCCGCAGGAGCAGAGCAGTCGGCAGAGAAGGCGCCCGAGGCACGCCATGCACTTCCCGGCAGAGCTGATGAAGGGTGTCCAGGACAAAGAGAGGGAGCAGAAACTCATCTGCATTTACATCCACAGCCCTTGCATCTTCCAGGTGAGCTGTGGCGGTGGAAGAGCGAGGGCAGCCCCCAGAGATGTCCTTTGGGGCTCCTCTCTGGTGACCTGAAAGCAGCGGCATCCCACAACACACCCCAAAGCTCATCTTCCCTCTGGGGAACCTTTGCAGGATGAGCGCAACAGCTCTGTGCTCAATGACAATGTCTTGGGAGCCTTCCTCCCAAACATCAGCGTCACCAACCTCAGACAGCCTGTGGAGATCCAGTTCTGGCACAACAAAGTGCTGGTGAGTGAGGGAGCCCGGGTGCCGCCAATGCGTGGGATGCTCCAGAAGGGACGGAAGCTGGAAGGAAAGGACCTGATAACTGTGAGGGTTGTGGGGGTGGCCCCAAGCACCGGGATTTTCCTTTGAGTTCAGGCAAAATGAGATTTTCCCCATTTTGCATTAGGAGCAGGATGGTGCCTGGCCCCCTGAAGGGGGTTCCTTGGGGAGCACAGAGCCTTGCCCCGGCTCTAACCTCCTCCTCCTTCAGTGATGTTTAACCTCCCACCACTGACGTCCCCCTTGTCCTTCCCACCAGGACACCTCCAATGCAACCTGCGTCTTCTGGCGGGACGGAGCTGGTGAGTGCATCGCTGGCTGGGGCAGAAGAATGAGGCCACCTTGGTGCCACTGTCCCTAGTGGCACTGCCCAACCTCCCCGGGGCAGCTCAGTGAGAGGACCAAGGTGGAGCAGGGCCCTCACCTGATCACCCAGCCCTTCACCCGTCAGCCCCATGGGGTGTCCTCAGGACCCTCTGGCTGTCTCTCCGACTGGTATTTCTCTCCCCAGCAGGCAGCGGGATCTTGGGAAGCTGGAGCTCAGAGGGCTGCGAGACCAGGCACAGCCAGGACACCGTCCTGTGCCGGTGCAACCACCTCACCTACTTTGCCGTACTGCTGGTAGGGCAGATGCCCGTGGCTTGTCCGGGAGAGCTTCTTGTTGGGAGAGTGACTGCTACAGGGTTGGCGTGTCCGTGCTACTGGGGTCCCGCAGTGCCTGATCCTAAGTCCAGCTTCTTCTCTCCTCCTTGGCCAGGTTGAACCGAGCAACATCAGCCAGGCTGAGCTGGTGTCTCTCACCTACATCAGCATCGTGGGCTGCTCCATCTCGGCCGCTGCCTCACTTTTCGCCATCCTCCTCTACTGCATCTTTAGGTAACAGTGGCTGCTTTGGCCCTGGATGCTGCGATATCCAGCGTCACCCCTCTTCTTGTCCCTATCTTTTAGGAGAAAGAAGAGCGATGACACAACCAAAATCCACATGAACCTCCTGGGCGCGCTCTTCTTCCTGAACAGCGGGTTCCTGCTCAGCGAGCCGCTGGCCTTGGCCACCGCGGGGCTGTGCCGGGCCGCGGCCGCCTTCCTGCATGGGTGCCTTCTCTGCACCTTGGCCTGGATGGCTGCTGAGGCCTTCCACCTCTATCTCCTCCTCATCAAGGTCTACAACACCTATATCCGACGCTACCTCCTCAAGCTGTGCCTCTTTGCCTGGGGTGAGTGTGGTCTCTGTGGTCACTGCCGCTGCCACAGTGTCCCCCTTTGGCTCGATGGGTGAAGGTGAGCAACTGGTGCTGGTGGTGGGCCCACCAGGAAGGAGGTCAGTGGAGGAGATGAGCACGAGTGGAGCTACCTGCTGTGGCGCTTGGATGTCCACAATGTCCATATGCTGGGACTCCTGGGCTCCTCCACTCCTCTCCCATGAGCACAGCTGGGATTTCCTCCCTTGTCTTCTCCCCAGAGCATATTTTGTCTCCTGCCCCACAGGTCTGCCAGCTCTGGCAGTTACTAGCATTTTGCTCTTCAAGAAAGACACCTATGGATACCTGGACATCAAAACTGCTGACGGCTACAAGAATGCTACAATGTGAGTGCGGGAGGTGCACAGCATGCCCAGGTGCCACCACAGTGCTGCTGACATGGGGATGAGGTCCGGCAGAAGTGGTTTGTTGGGAGAAAGACCCTTCTTGTCCTCCCTGCAAGACCGCTCCTTCTCTGAGCTCCATCACTCCCATGCTCTGCTGCCGAGCCGTGACCGTGCGGCGCTGTCCCTCTGCCAACGTAGGGCTGTCCCCTTCCACACACGGGGCTTTTATGGAAACCATGCCCTCTCCAACACCTTCCTCAGGGGACGTAAGCCCTTCTCCTCAAGCAAATATCCCTCCTGGCTGCTCCGGCCTGGATCTGCTGCCCCCGGGTGCTCCTCAGCTCTCACCCACGGCCCGGGCTCCCTTGTGCAGGTGCTGGCTCACCAGCCGGGCAGCTCACTACAGCACCCTGTGCTTCGCTGGCCTCATCCTGCTCTTCAACACTGCGGTGCTGCTTGCCGTCGTGAGGATGCTGAGGAGCAGCCGGCGCCAGAAGGGGATGGCGACGAAGGACTGGGCCACGGTCCTGGGGCTCACCTGCCTGCTGGGCACTACCTGGCTCCTGGCTTTCTTCAGCTTCGGCGTCTTCTTCGTGGCCCAGCTCTACCTCTTCACCATCCTCAACTCCTTGCAGGGTCAGTGGGAGCAGTGGGCCTGGGAAAGGTTTTTTGAGGGGGAAAATCCCACATGTTGGAAGCAGCAGGGTGCTCGTTGGGCTGCAAGTGATGAGCTGAGACCCCAGCGTGCCACAAGAACCCGGGGGACTTTTGGGCCAGTGGAGACACTGCGTGTTGGCGATCCCAGCGGTGACTCTTATCTTGCCTTTCTGTCCGCAGGTCTCTTCATCTGCCTGTGGTACCACATCGTGCTCCGGCGGACAGATCGCGGCCCTGCCAGCACCTCCTCCAACACCTCCAAGTGAGCCCAGGGGCTTTGTGGGGACACCGCGCTGGAGCCCCCACGCTGTGAACTGCACAGGGCTGAGCGAGCGCGTCCCACGGAGCCCTGTGCTCCCTGGCTCCTTTTTGGGCCTTTTTTGGGGAGTTGCAGACAAGGCAGGTTTCTTTAACAGCCGTCAGAACGGTTGGCTCCGCAGCAGCCGTCTTGATGGTGCTGTCATTAGTGAAGGTCCCGCTAGATGGCACGAGGATGTCAAAAACTTTCCTGGCTCCGACCTGCGCACTCTGTGGGGCTGGATGCCCGAGCGCCTCTGCACCATCTCAGGGATGTGAGTGGCTGTAAGGGGAGCCCCGCAGCAGCACCCAAGCACAATTCCAGCCCAGCCTGGATGGAGGCAGAGCCGGGAGCGTGTGGCAAGCGGGAGTTCTCCTGGAGCTGGAAAACCCCGTTGCTCCGCACGCGCTGCCTGGGTCGACTGAGCTGCTGATGGCCTTTTCTCGGTGCTTCCATTCTCCACAAGCACCAATTCCCTTTCCTCTCTCCCCAAGGGAATGCAAGAATTCCTGGAAAGGAAAAGATATGAGAGGAGGGGAAGCTCCCCTTATTCCTGGATATGCGGCCAGAGTCATATCCGGCAGGATTTTCCGTGCCGGGAACATTAAGTCCCTGCATTTGCATCCCGGAGCTGAGCAGCTCGGGGCAGTGAGGGGTGCTGCCAGCTCGCGGAGGCGGCTCGATCCCGCTCACCTTTCCTTTAGCCTTTCCAGGGAAGCGCTCGCTCATGCTCGCCGTGCTCACGGCCCCGAGCGGAAGCAGATTTGCAAGCCAAGGAAGCGCAGTGGGATACAGCGCGAGGGTGATGTTGCAATCAGGGGGGAGTGGTTGGCTGTGCCCCATTCCGAGCCCTGGCTCCAAGGTTTCTGCAAGTGCGCAGCAAGCTCGCGGCTGGCACCAAGCCCCACGCACCGAAACATCCAGCCGCTGGCCCAGGCACCGCTCCGGGGGAGTTAGGCTTTTTCTAACAGCAAAAAATGCTGTTTGCAGCAACATGTTGCAGGTGGTTGTTATCAACCCTGGAAATACAATCCTCGAAGTGTTTTGGGGGGCGGGTTTGGACCACCATCTGTCCCGTCACTGTTAGGACCGTCCCCACAGGAGGCAATGTGGCTGCAGCCTAAAGCCACCCGTCTTTGCCCTACTGCTTTGGAGCAGCGCTTGTGCCACGGTTATTAAATACAATCCCTTTTTCTATATGTTATCTAAGTTTCCGGCTTCCACTGTGGGATGGGCTTGTCTAGACACCAGAGAAAACAGGACGCCCGCTTTACGAGCGTGCCGAGGCGAGAGGTGATTTTATTGCCCAGGTCATAAAGCCGAGGCTGGCAGGTCATCCAGTGGAGGAAGCGCTGCTATAGCACCCTGCTCTGCTGAGCTCGGCCTCCACGAGCCAACCAGCTCCTGCGGAGGAACCCTGTGTGCACGTGGCGATGGGCGAAGGCTGAAAGACGTGGGGTTGGAGCTCTCCATCCCTGCGGTGGCTACACAGCCGGATGACTGCTAGGATCCTGCTTGCCATGGCCACCGAGCCACCAGAAGAGCACCTGGAGAACATTGACCATGAGACCAAAATCGAGACCGAGTCCATGCGACTTCTGTGAGGGCAGGATTTTGGACCCAACTGCTCATAGCGTGGGTTTCTTGAGC